GTGTGTGTGTGTGTGTGTGTAAAAGCCGGTGTTGTCTGCAGACGGTGGGGAGGAGAAGGGAGCAGCTTAAGATTACCTCAGGTTCTGAGACAAAACAAAACTTTAAAGCTGCCGAGTTTTTGATATAAAAACCTGAGATTTCCATCTGTATTCATGATGCAAATGAGGACATTTTATGTAATTTACAGTCAGTACAAGGCGACAACATTAGTGTGTTGAAAGTGAACTTATCTTAGCATTTTCACAGTCTTATCTTGATATTTTTCCAACAACATTCTTGAACATGAAATCAGAGGCAGTGATTGGTCCATGCCGGGGTTTTTTCTAACGATGTCATCCAGGATCATCTTTGCGGCACAGCCAGGTGTCGCAAAACAGCTCCAAGACTGACATTTAAGAATTACTCCTACACTTCACTTAAAGTGAGACTGAGACGCCTGATAACTGACTTTTACTCTCAGCTTTTAACTAAGAATTATTTTACATTTAAGTCCACTCTTAGCAGCGTTCTTAAGAGTAATTCTAAGAAGTTTTATAAATACGAGCCCAGATGTTTCTTTAGATTATTTTAAGTCACTATCAGAGAGATGAAGAAGAGTCAGAGTTCAAATAATATTGTTTTAATAATAAACAAAGACCAGAGAGTTTATTTTATTAAAGAGTCCCCCTTTGATGTCACTTCCTGTTTCATTTTGGCTGAGCCAAGCTCAAAAGAAAATATGTCAGTTATGGGACAAAATGGGTTAAATCGTGTGTGTTATTCCAACTTTCTTAAATATAAAGATGTTTTCTTTGACTTTTTGAAGTATATCATGTCACAGGCACTTTAAAAAGTCTACGATGAACTGGTGATGAGATGACCTACCATGGACGAGCCTCTGCTCCTGCACCATCAACGAACGATATTCATCCCATTTCTCATAAAGAGTTTGCTGCAAACAAACAGAAAACACACTTCACATGAAATAAAAGAAGCACACTGACAAATAACAGAATCAGCTTTGGCCTGAAACTAACCTGAGATGAAAAAACAAACATGTCAGTGTKTGTGTAGCACTGAGAAAACAGCTTCTTCTAGGTCTCAAACAGCATGAAAAAGCAGCAGGTTGATGTTTAAACTGCTGGATTAGTCTGTGAGAGGGTGGCTGTGTTTCAGTGGATTAGTGTGGGACAGCTGCTGTAATCTTTAGGGAGAGGAGCTGCTATCTGAGCCACTTCACAGGCAGCYCGATCCCTGAACCTGCTGCACAACACTGCTGATGCAACAGGTGGGGCCGATGGAGGGACAGGTGCAGAGGGAGGGGGAGGGGGCGTCGGCATCTACCATAAAACATAATGTGGGTCTGTGTGTAAGGGTGCTGGATACATGAACAGCACAAAGCTCTCAACAGGAACAGAGAAGCCCTCACCTTCAGATACTGCAGCCGGGCCTCCAGCTCAGCTTTGCGGATGGAGTCGCTGTAAACCGTTTCCAGCCTTCAAGTGAAAAAACACACAAGACCACAGAGTTATTACACTCAACAGGAAGTACTTAATAAAACTACAAGAACATAAAAGAGCAGTAAAAACCTCTCCGCAGTATGAAAGGCTCTTTTCATAAGTCAGAGCTGGGAATGAGTCGGACTTTACAAGCAGTGGGTCAGGATAAGGAGGACACAGTTTCCACACTCTGGAGTCATTAGTGGAAGGAACGACTGAGAAAGCTTGTTTTCACTGACGGTGTCAAGTTGTGCTTCTAATTTGGTGATGTCAGTGTGTAAAAACTGTGCCAGCGTTTTGTWCGCAGATATTTCAGCAGCAGTGGCTCTGAAAGCTCACAGCCTGTCTGCTCTAATTGTCCCTTTAATCTTTTACAAGCAGAGACGGAGGCTGAGGAGGAGCGAGTGCTTCAGGTTAAAACGCCCACTCAGCAAACTGACAGCTGTGTCCTCCAAACTCCAGCCATTACAGGCACGACTGTTTCAACAACTTAAGCCGTTAATAAATACATTTCGGCATTTCTAAATAAAAAAAAAGAACCCAAATTATTAAAAACTGTAAATATAAGCAAACACCAGGCTAACGCAAGAGAATTTACTCTACTTGGAATTTTCATTGTTGATGTGCTTTTTGTTTAAAAAAAACGACTCCAGGATTTTAAGGCAAGTTGTTCTGCTGTAGTTCTGAGGGATGCACAACAAAACCAAGACAATTTTTTATTTTCTTTTTTTAAAGGGCCAATATTATGTGTTTCTCAGGCATACATTTAAATACTATACCATAATAAAGTAGCTATGTCACCTTTAGCTGTTTTTAAAATGCTGTTTAAATAGAAAATAAACTTTTCTCATGACTTCCTCTTCTAATCTGAAAAGAGCTTCACTGAGTGAGAACTAATGTTGAGAGCTCAGCAGACAGTTAGGTTTCACTTTCACTTTGACCCGAGAGCCTGCAGGAGTCATGGGTGGGGTGTGTGGGGAGGGGGGGGGTGCACTCTGCCATGAGGAAGTTCGGCTTAAAGACACGTCCCAGGGGCGTTTCTGGTCCCCACCTGTCATTTTGCTCCTCAGCATGGCTTCCTAAAAACGCTGCAGGATTTCTCAAACATGCATGAATCAGTCAGAACAAGGCTTTGGGCATGTTTTTTTTATGAGAGTTAACATTATAACGTGATATAAAACTCAAAAAAGTTGATTTTACATGATATTGCCCCTTTAAATCCCAGCTGCCAAACACCCAGGTCAATGTGATCCAGTTAGGGATGCACCAATATGAAAATTTCAGCCAATATCTACATCCGATATAATTATTGGTGTTATGGCCGATAACCAATATTTATCGATATTGCACAAACACACAAATTATTTATATACATATACGCACAAACACACTTGTCTTTTTTGATTCCATAAATAAACAACCAGACCTGTGACATGGCTCTCTGCTTCAGTTATTCCTGGCTACGCAGCATCAATATCACTGTCACGATCAAACAGATGTCGCTCAACCAACCATCTCCCCTCACAAAACAAACACTAAAAGGTGGGAAATCAATACCAGACATTAATATCGACCCAGTTTTACACATCGGGCTGATACCGATGTTAATGTTGATATATCATGCATCCCTACATCAACAGAAAACTGTTGGGGGGAGGGGCTTCCACAAAAACATGAATAAGGGGAGATACAAACTGAGAAAACAACCCTGAGATACAAATGAGATGAGAGAAAACATGTTTGAAATGTTTGAAAATGTCAGTCACAGTTTCTGATCAAATTCAGCTGAAATAAGATATTTTCTTTTTCTCTGCTTCAAAGGTTTCCATTTGTGTTATGTTTGCTACAATATGTGCACTGGAAACAAGCTCACAAACTACAGCACTAACTGGTACCAGGATTTGTTTGGTGGCACAAAATCTGAATAAAACCGTCTCCAGTTCAAGATGAAGTTTGTGTTCATCACTAGTTCACAGCCAGCTTAAAAGAAAGCCACTTTGATTTTTTTTTTGACAAACTAACAGATCAAAACAAAAAATATATATTTTCTCACCATTAATGTTAATTTGGGTATTTAATCTGATTCATTTTAGTTTTAATGAACCCATTTGTACCATTTGTTTACCTGAGTGAGTTGCCGCAGGCCTTGATGAGCTGGACAATGTCCTTGTGTCGAAATCCCTCTACGGTGGTCTCGTTCACACTCGTGATGGTGTCCCCTGCACAAACAAACACACACACAGCGTGTGTTAGCCAGCCGCCACGAGTTCAGGGTGCTCCAGTGCAATGTGGCTTCTGTTACATCTCTCAGCCAGCTGACGCGTGCTGAGTCCCACATGAAACCTCCACATGTGAAACACAAATGTGCAGTCGTGGCATTCGGCTCTGAAACAGTTTATCTGGACCGTGTGTGTGTGTGTGTGTGTGTGTGTGTGTGTGTGTGTGTGTG